AAAGTAGTCTGCTGTGGCGGCGAGATAATGGTGAGCTACATCTGTTGACCAATAATTCTACCACTTGGTCTCATTTTTCAGCCAAGTCCCCATCGATGTCAGATTTGTATTAGAGGTAGGTATAATCTAGAACCTTAGAGACAGCCGGTTGGGGTTTTATATTGCCGAATTAGAACGCAGTTTCCGTTTTATTGTATTGTAGTATTAGTATGTTAAGAATCCATTGTCCAGCTGAATGATGATTACATGAAATGTTTGTACACGCTGTTCCTCACTTGTATTCAAACGGCTTTTCAGTTGGTTGGGGGTGGTACAATCTGAGGCGACCAATCGAAACGGTTGTTTGGTGATCCGCATCGAGAACCCATTTACAATCTATGCAGATTGTTTTCAATCGATCGATCTCTCGTTTCCACTTATAGGCGAGTAGGAGAGTCCGTGACCGGAGCTATTGACCAAAATTGACAGGCCGCACACACACGTGGTAGACCACTTGAAAGCGTGCTCGCCATCACCGACACACTGGGCCATGCATGTTTGTGTGTGTGTGGATGACAGCGGCATGCCTGGCATTCGTGTTTATTACGGTGTCATGCACGAATAGATCTGCTTACTGGATTCTTGCGAGCCCCATGTGCATGGATAAGTGTTTACCTGTGTGCGTGTTTGTGTCGCAAACAGTGGAATAGTCATCCTATTGGCGATCATTGTTGAGAGTAGAGAAACATCTTAATTTAGTCCAACATGTCTTGCATGTAAACGTGTGTGTATCGTTATGTTTTGGACCCTCGATTGTCTAATGGAAGTGTCAAGTTTTTTCCGGCTTATTAAATGCCATTTACCATTTCGTCGCAGTGTGTTAGCTACAATAACAACATACTTTAATATAGTCAACTTCATGTGTACCTTACGCAAGCCACATATCCAGTGCGACACAACCGGTAGCCTCGTTTTCGGCTTATCCACCTCTCTGTTTTCATCCTCCCTCCCACCGTGCGCTTGCACCACCAAGCGAATCGAACATACGTTCAATTCAGTCCATCAAGATATGTACATAAACATACCGATTGCTCCGTCGTTTTCCAATTGGACCACTATCAGGGTAGCTTTTACTTCTCCCGAAGTCTCTCTTCCACATTCCTTCAAACAGGTAATGTCTTCCTTTCTCCATCATTATCTTTCCTCTCTTTGATTGAACCTGGTTTGACAGGTGGAAGGCGGTAGTTTCACACAACCAACCCTGTGCAAATGACACTTTTGAGTAGAGTAAGTGGTGATTTGAGCTCTACGTGAACAAACAGAGACGCCACTGATCAATTCGGTTTTTTTGTGTCACTAACTGTTCGTATCTCACGACTAAGTTTGAGGATAGATTTTCTTACCTGTCATCCGCCCCTCTTCATTGGAGAATAATATAGCCTAACGTATCAGGGCCTTGTATGGTTGGCCACTCCAAGTCCCGGGTCTTATGTT